AAAGTCATTTTGGGGCCTTGTTTGAAAAGCACAATTCAAATCTTTATTTCCTCAGTTTAATAGACTCATAGACTTTAATGCCAGAAGGGCCCATCATGATCATCTAGTCTGACCTCCCACACATCACCAGATACAGAACCTTGCCCACTCACTCCTGTAATAGACCCTTAATCTCTGGCAGAGTTACTGAAGTCCTCAAATTTTGATTTCAAGACTTCAAATTACAGAGAATCCGTCACTGATTCTAATTCAAACCAGGAATTGAGCCACGCCTCATGTTGAACAGTAAGGCAGGAAAAAACCAAACACCCCAGGATCTCTGCCACTCTGACCTGGAGGAAAATTCCTTCCTGGCCCCAAGTATGGTGTTCAGTTAGACCCTAAGTATGTGGGCTAAACTGGGAAAGCATTCTTTATACTAACAGAGAGCCCTCCTTCTTCAGCATCCCATCTTCAGGCATTGGAGATATTCACTAATAGCAGTCACAGATGGGCCATATGCCACTGTAGGACACTTTATCATACCATCCCCTCGATAAACATATCAAGCTCAGTCTTGAAACAAGTTAGTTCCCCTCCCTCTTACTACTTCCTTTGGAAGGCTGTTCTTGAACTTCATTCATATGACAGTTGTCTAATTTCAGGCCTTAACTTGCTGATAGCCAGTTTATATCCATTTGTTCTTGTGCCGACATTGGCCCTTAACTTAAAGAACTTCTCTGCATCTCTGGTGTTTGTCCTTCTGATGTATTTATAGAGATCAATCCTATTTTCCCTCAACTTTCATTTTTTTAAACAAGCCAACCTTCTTCTCTCATAAGGCAGGTTCTCCATTCCTCCGATCATCCTAGTAGCCTTTCTCTGCACGTGTTCTAACCTGAATTCATCTTTCTTAAACATGGGATACCAGAACGGCTCACAGTACACTCCCTTGTCTCTACTGGAAATACCTTGCTAATGCATCTTAGGACTGCATTAGCCTTTTTACAACCACTACCACTACAACCATTGGTAGCTCATAGTCATTTTATGATCAACCAGCAGACCCAGGTCTTTCTCCCCCTCTGTCACTTCCAACTGGTAAGTTTCCAGCTTACAGAAAAAATTCTTGTTGTTGGCCCCAAAGTGCATGACCTTGCACTTTGAACTACTAAATTTCATCCCATTTCTATTACTCCAGTTTTCAAGGTAATCCAGATCTTATTGTATGATATTCCTGTCTTCATCCACATTGGCAATACCTCCCAACTTGGTGTCATTTGCAAATTTTATTAACACATTCCCACTTTTTATGCTAACGTCATTGAGGTAAAGTTAAATAAGATTGGTTCCAAGACTGATCCTTGAGGAACTCAACTTGTAACCTTCCTCCAGCCTGACAGTTCACCTTTCAGTATGACCCGCTGTAGTCTCCCCTTTATCCAGATCCTTACTCACCTTTCAATTCTTGTATTAATCCCCAGCTTCTTCAAGTTAATGAAAATTTTCTCATGTGTAACTGTATCGAATGCTTTATTGAAATCAAGTTAAATTAGATCTACTGCATTTCCTTTGTCTAGAAAATAATTATCTTCTCAAATGAAAAATTCAGGTTGGTCTAGCATGATCTGCCTTTTGTAAAACCATGTAAAACCATGTTGTATTTTATCCCTATTGCTATTTATCTTTTAAGCCTTTAATTATTCTCTCTTTCTAAATTTGTTCTAAGATGGTTGTTCCCAAACGTTTTCCCTGCATGACCCCATTTTCGGATATATTGCTTCCTGTGACCCCAGATAGCATGAAGGATACCATTCAAAAATAGCGTCCTCCATGCAGCTTGGCTTCTCACGCACTATACGTGCAAGGTCATGCCACATCAAGGACACCATGTTGCTTTAGAAAAATGGCATCATCCACACAGTGTGAGCTTGCACACATCTGGTGTTTGCAAGGTCATGCTACATGTTTTACTAAATAGCATCTTTTGCATAATTGGGATTGCCGCAACCCCATCTGCTCATGGAGTGGCTTCATGTGAGGTCATGACCCACAGTTTGGGAATCACTGTTCTACCACCATGGATACTATTGAGGTCAAACTAACGAGCCTGTCATTTCCTGGATCACTTTGTTTTCTTTCTTAAGTATAGGTACTATATTTGCAATTCTCCAGTCATAGGATATGACCCCCGAATTTACAGATTCATTAATCATCCTTGCTATTGGGCTTTCAACTTTATGTGCTAGTTCCTTTCTTATTCTTCAATGGAGATTGTCACTCTGTCTGGAGTGTTTCACAACTGTGCATGCCTATCTCAGGGCAGACTGTGAAAAACAGGGCAGACACCCCAAACTGGTGATATGGTCTATAATTACATTTTTACAAGCCAATAACAAATGTGAATTCCTAGATCACTATAACAGTTTTACTATGGAGTCACAGACTGGTCCCCTGAGACTCTCCAGTCTGTCTTGTCACCTAGGCAAACTGGACTTAGTGATAAATGGTCACTTATACCAAAAATCACACCAGTCCCAAGAGATCAGTCACTTATTCTAGATCAATTGGTACCGTAGATCTGACACCAAAGACAACACCAGTAGCCAATTCTGTAATAAACTTTCTAAAGGTTTATTAACTAGAAAAAAGAAATAAGAGCATTATTTACAGGTTAAAGCAAGCAAACGTACACACAAAATGAGTGCAATCTAAATCCTAAGAGAGACAGAGTTGTAATGTTTTGTTAATTCAAAATATCTTTCAGAGCAGACACAGGAGGTAGCCTCTGGGTCTGGCTTCAGTTTGGTACCTCTGGCCCTGTGAGAGACCAAACAGCAAAGAGATGGAAAAAAGTTTCTGTGTCTTTGTTTCATTTCCTTCGTTCAGCGTCCAAGTCCACAGGACAAGCTTCCTTGCACGTAGCATTTCCAAGGTGTGATAGGGCCACTAACCAATCCTTTGTATTGCTGTGTTCCTTGATGGCCCATTTGATTTTGATAGTTCCTCTGGATGGGAGCCAGGGGAACACTCTTCCCATCTGGATTCACAAGTTTAGAGTAAACATTTTCAAAGTCGTAAAGCAAAACTAGCATATTTCCTGCTAGCATGAAATACAGACATTATAAATATGATTAATGCATGCAGCAACTTACAAACATTCTATAGAGTCTAAATACTGAATACATTCTTATAAGACTAATACCTATTTTGAGCAACACTAACACGCAAGTGAACTGGTCTGATCTTCAGCTATGAGTTTGTCAGTTCTTAGCTAATGCTTGCAGCCTTGGCAAGCGCTGGCCTCTGGCATGCCAGCATCACACAAATTATCTGGGGCCCCTAGTTTGGTCCCAACAGGCTGTTTGAGTCTGCGTTCCACCGCATATGTGGTAATTTCTACTTCCATATTCTTGTTCCCATGTGTCACTCTGGCCTTGCCCCCAAGCTCCTCATTACCCTTATTAAAAACGTAGGCAAAGCATTTAGGTGTGGACCATACCTAAATTATCTTTAATCTCCACCCATCTTCAATGTTTAGCAGTCCCACTTCTTCTTTCCTGCTTTCTTTTTACTTAGTTAGCTAAATAACCTCTCTTATTTGTTTTAATTTCCTTTGCAAGTCCATCTCTGCTTGGCTTTTGACAATTGTCACTTTATCCATCCAGGTAGCTTTCTGCTTTCTCTTAATCACCTGTTTGAGATGCTTGGCCATCCATTTCAAAATATTTGAAATTTTATTTCATTTTGAGCTCTAATGGTCTTGAAAAGTAATATGCACTCAACAATGAATGGTGAATTTTGCCTCATGTCTCACATTTTGAATTAAAACATCATTTTGGCTTGGATTTTGGAAACTGAGAAAAAAAGTTTTCCTCTTTCAGTTTTCATTATTTTCCAGATTTCTCCCTTTTATGCCCTTTCAAAAGGGAGGAAAGATAAAACATATGAGAAAGTAGGTTGAGAATTACTCTTTGTATTATATCTTTACTGTATTCCAAGTTATAAATTGTGAAATCATCGCTTAAAGATTTTTCAAGATTTGTTTGTGAAAAAAATTATTTTACATATTTTGTTTTTTCACCCTTTTCCAGTTGGTAATAAATATGTAAAAAATGTTATTTCCCCTATTTTCCATTACTTTCTAAAACTCCTCCCCCAGGCCCACCAAATTTGGGTTTTTCCCTACTTTCTTTCACTTTTGTACCTTTCCTACAATTTTTCCATTGGAAGGAGAGAGAAAAGGAAAAAAAGGCAGAGAAAACTTGGGAAAGTACCAATATTGCAATAAAACAAAGAGAGGATACTGACATCATTCAATTTCCAAAAACAGAAAAAAAACCCCTGACATTTGGAGTCAAATCCTTGAAATATAAAAAAAATATTGAAAATCTCTATTTCATATGAAACTTTTTCATCATTCAATTTTGTAAATTTTCCATGAGACAATGGAAATTATTTAGTAAAAAATAAAGAGATTTTCCCATTAAACATTGTGTAGTCAACACAAGGACTGTAAAGTTTCCTTCTCTGACTCAGTCTGAGCTAATATTTTTGGCCAGGCTGGAGCTATATTCTGACATTCTAGCTCTACAAGGTGGCTGTTCATATATGTATGTATGTAATGTAATGAATTTTAGTGGTAGTGTGGGAACTCCTAGCATTACCAGGAAATGCTGGGTTAAAGACATTGACATTCTTGATAATTACTCTGTTCTTTTTACTCTGCAATTATCTTTCATCTCCTTGCAAATGTTTGTAAGTGATATGTTAAGAGAGACGTAAGGATGATTGGGCTGGAGAGAGGAATTGCCACCACAGCTATTTTTGCAATCACATTGCAAATCTGAAAACGTTCCCTGTAGATTAACTTCCATGGATGTGAATACCAAGCATAGATTCATTTGCAGAAATTATGTCCAGCAACAGACAGGCAGGAGTACTTAACTCCATCTCCCAGCTGGGAGCATGAAAATGATTTAGGGTGAACTTAACGGAAGGTTATGGATAGATTTTTATACCTCCATGAGAATAGCTGGAGGCCAAGGGCACAAAGATGTCAGAACCATAGAAGACCGTCACCATGGTGATGTGTGAGGTGCATGTGGAGAAGGCCTTGGACCTCCCCTCAGCTGGATAGATCCACAAGATGGCCATTAGGATGAAAGCCTAAGATACCAAGATCAAGGAGAACTGAATCAGGAGCAGTATCAGCCCCTCAATGAAGTCTACCACTTCACTAACTCGTATGTCCATTCAGGCCAGCTTCAAAATGGCCAGCACCTCACAGAAGAAGTAGTTGATCTTGTTCAGGCTGCAATAGACCAGACTCATGGTGTGAAGCTGATTTGCCTTGTGGCAAAGAGGAAACCTCATGTCCATGAGCCAGTTGCCATCCTGGCATTGATCAGCCTGCTCGTGATAAGGGTACAGCACAGAGAGCAGCAATTGGCTAAATATCAGTTGTAGAGGAAGATATACATCTGGATGATGAAGCCAGCATAGGAGATACTCTTCCTCCTGGAGAGGAGGTAGAACAGTATCTGGAGCATAGTGGTAATGGTGTAACTGATGTCCAGGAATGACTGGTTAGCCAGTAAGAAGTATGTGGAGATGGTGTGATGTTACTGACATAACCTGTGACCGTATAGATCATTGTTGCAACCACTGTGATATATTTCCAGCAAATATTGTACAAAGGTTGTCGTGTAAGGAGTCTATGGAAAGGTTATGATTTGCTGATTATGATTATGTTATCTGTATGTGTGTATCATTTTTGTAGCTGAAGTTATGAATATTGGCTAGATACTTTTATCTCAATATGTTTTGATTCTAAGTAGCCTCAGTGAAGCATTTGGTCAGCTTCTTGAGAAGGGACTATTCTCAGTAAGTGCCCAATCAAGAAACACTTAACGGACAATGGACTTTGGAAGACGCCAATCCACATCTTAGCTTTCCTGGGAATGTTCAAACTAAATTGTAAACAATGGCATTGGCCTGTAAAGAATTGAGTCATGCATGGACATGTGACTCCAAAAGCCATCTTGCTGTAATTTTCCACAGTAAGAACAAAGAGGTGTCCTACCACCTGGAAGAGACTATAAAAGGCAGCTGCCTCATTTTCATCTTGTCTTCAATCCTGCTTCTTACTTCTTTAGGAATATTGCTACAAACTGAAGCTCTTCTCTGTTTGGCTGGTTTGGTTTCCCTTGGCGTGCAAAGGAACCTCAGCCTTGGGCTGTAACTGCCCAGCTTTAAGCAATTTGTCCTGAATTAGTACTCTCACTTGGGTCCCACCAAAGCCAGCATCGTTACAGATGGGAGCCCCAAAGAGGTTTTCCAGGATGATGGCCTGGAAATCTGAAAACAGCAGCAGCTCCATCCTCCTATGGATGGAGAGAATCCCAGAAGGATAAAATCTAACATGGAGCTTTTGCACTTGGAGCTGGCATCCACATGGCCGTGCAGAAGGACATGGAAAGCCATACATAGCTGAAGGGACAATATGGACCTACCTGATTACCCTTGAAGGCTAAGTTTCTGTTGTCTCCAGGACATGGGATGAATGTCTGTGGCCAAACTCCTTTCTTCTGTACTCCCCAGAATAGGTGGGGTGAGCATTTGCAAGAACTTATTGACAAGGTTCATGGGTGGTGGGTGATGCTTCCCTTTGGGGAAGCTAACCCACATGACCCACCTCTTCTGGCTGAGACCCTGCCCTATCTTGCTGCTCTCAGCTCCCCTTCCCCACCGCCCATGGCCCAGGGGTGGGGGGGGGGCTGAGAGCTTGACCTCAGCAGGGGTCAAACTCTCAGCCTCAGCTGGGACCACGGTGGAGTTCTCTGCTCTGCCTGGGGCTGGGGCTTCCCCATTTTTCCCATGGCCCATCCATGGCCCCACCCCATTCTGCCCCTTCCCCCATGGCCCTGCCCCAGTTCTGCCCCCACTCCGCCTCTCCCACCCAAGGCCTCTCCCCTGTGTGCTCCTTCCCCCTCCCCTGCTGTGACCCCACAGACCGGAAAAGCTCTGTGTGCCCGAAGTGGCTCTGAAGCCACTTAGCAAGCTCTCCTCCAGCCCTGGGACTATGGTGGGGGAGATTTTCAGGAGGCCCCAAATCCGCCACTGCCCCTCCTTCCCCAGTGTCATGGGGTTTGGGGAGGCTTAGCCTCCCCTGGTCTCCATTATGTGCTGCCCATGACAAGGTCCCTCTATCTATTTGCCAAGGGGTTTTCTGCAAGTCTCTACTGGTGTAAGCATAAATGGGGGTCAACTTTTATAAATTTGCCAGGTGCCAGTTCGATTTTAAAGCCCAAATGTAACAAATACGATTTGCCTATTTTTAGTAAATATTATAGCTCATATGTATTGTGACAGACCCAGACCAGTGGGGTACAGGAGTCTGGTAGAGGGCAAATATACTGGTCACTGGATGAGTAGTTTTCTGTTCCCTGAGTGACCAGACCTATTGGGATCCAGGAAGTGGGTGGGCAAAGCCCGCCCACTGCTAAAGGATCCTCCCCAGCCTAAGGGGGGGTCCACAGGACCTGGAGACCAAAAAATTACGGGGGACAACTAATAAAAGAACAGGGACAGGAGTGAGGTCAAATGAAGCGAACCAGATGGGGACACCGAGCAGAGAAACCCGGACAGTGCCCACTGCTCCTCGAAGGCGTCAAGGAAGCCAGTGGACGCCGCCCAGAGGAACTCTGCCCGGATACGTGAAAGAACGGAGGACTTGAAATACACCCCACAGTCACAGGAAACTCCATCGGCCAACCTCCTCACTCTGGTTTTATAGATGGCCAGTTTCGCTAGGGCCAGAAGGAGGTTGACCAGGAGGTCCCACGACTTTGTGGGGCGATGGATAGGGAGTGCATAAATAAAAAGGTGAGGGGAAAAGTGCAACCAAAATCTTAACAAAATATCCGTGAGGAGCCAGAATAGGGGCTGCAGCCTGGCGCACTCCAGGTAAACATGCGCCAGGGTCTCCCTCACGCCGCAAAAGGGGCAGGTGTCTGAGATAGGGGTAAACCGCGCCAAGTACATGCCCATGCTCACGGCTCCGTGAAGGAGCCGCCAACTGATGTCCCTGGTGGGCTTCGGGATCAGAGCAGAATAAAGGCTGGCCCACTGGGGCTCCTCACCCTCTAGAGGTGGCAGAAGGTCCCGCCACTTCGTATCGGGGCGGGACGCGAGGGTGAGGACATGAAGAACATGGAGCACGAGCGTGTATAGATGTTTCCTTGGCGCGGTCCGGAACAGAACCGGCTGCAGATGGTGAAGCCGGCTCATGGCAAATGGACGGGGAGGGGGCTGGTTGGGTCCACGGGGCAGGGGCCCGATGAAAAAGTCTGGAGAGCTCGGAGTGGAGGGTGGGCGGGGCATGCCCTCTCGCAGGACCCGGTCGAGATAGTCCCAAGCAGCGGGCGGCAAAGGGGCCCTCACCTCCTGAAGTACGCGCCGGGGAGTACGAGGTCTGGAGAGCCCCATGCGCTGAGCGAGCATCAGGGGATCCAGCCAGTCTCCCCGGTCGTAGTCCAGGAGGTCTCCGACTTTGGTGACTTCTGCTAGGACCAACCTCTGGCGCACCATGGGGGACTCCGCCACCTGCACACGAAGCTGGGGGTTGTGTAGCAGGAGCTCCGCGAGGAGATCTGCCCCCACGGTGGCCGCCACGGACCTGGTCACTGAAAACAGTTTCCAGGTCCGGAGGAGGTCCTGGTAGAAGACCGGCAGCTCGGTGAGGCCTTGCGGAAGACCTCTCGGATGGAGACAAAGGAGCTGCCGGTCATATCGGAGCCCTCGGAAGCGGCGCAGGAAGGCATGCGCCAATACGCTCCATGCCGGACTACCTGCACCATAAAGGAGCCTCTGCAGGGCCTGGAGGCGGAAGACGTGGACCTGAGTGTGCAGAAACTTCAGGGCCTGCCCTCCCTCCTCCAGGGGTAGATGGAGAACCCCCGCAGAGACCCAGTGCAGTCCTGACCAAAAGAACTCCAGAATCAACGTCCGGAGGGTGGTCAGGAAGCCTGGGGCCGGGACCAGGGTGTTGAGCCGGTACCAGAGCATGGACAGGACTAGTTGATTGAGCACCAGTGTTCTCCCTTGAAGGGAGAGACACTGGAGCAGTCCCGTCCATTTCCGGAGCCACTTCTACACTCTGCCCTCTAAACCTAGCCAGTTCTCCGGCGGAGACGGATGCGTGGCAGAAAGGTAAACGCCGAGATAGAGCAGCGGACCCGCGCTCCACCGGATGGCCTGAAGCGCGGGTGGGAGGGAGCTCGCCTGCCACCTGTCCCCTACCACCAGGCCAGAGCTCTTGACCCAGTTGACCCGGGCAGAGGAGGCCGCCGAAATAGATGGTCTGGCAAGCCTCCACCCGCACCAAGTCGCCCGGGTCCTGGACCACAAGGAGCATGTCGTCGGCGTACGCCGACAGGACCAGCCGCAGCTCTGGATCCCGCAGCACCAACCCTGTCAACCTCCTTCGGAGGAGACAGAGGAAAGGCTCGATTGCCAGAGCATACAGCTGGCCCGAGAGGGGGCACCCTTGACGTACTCCTCGCCCGAAGCTGACCGGTTCGGTCAGGGTCCAGTTGAGCCTGACCAAACACTCTGCGGAGGCATACAGCACCTGGAGAAAACCTACAAACTGGGGCCTGAAGCCAAACACTCGCAGAGTGCCCAGGAGATACCCGTGGTCCACCCTGTCGAACGCCTTCTCCTGATCCAGGGACAGGGGGGCGAACGACAGACCATCCCTACACCCGAGTTCCAAGAGGTCCCGGACCAGATACAAGTTGTCGAAGATGGTGCGGCCTGGGATGGTGTAGGTCTGGTCTGGGTGGATCACGTCCACCAACACGGACCCTAGCCGCAGTGAGATGGCCTTCGCTACGATTTTATAGTCCGTGCTGAGGAGCGAGATGGGACGCCAAT